AATAAATGAAAACAAAAAGCCGAATATTTTTTCAGATTTTCAGCACCCACTTCTTTCATCAAAATGCACATGTATACACACACATACTTATATATATATATATATATATATATATATATATAAGAAAGCAAGCCAAGTTAATGTGGTCATCTACCCTCCAGCATTTAAAACTGTGGGCACTCACCCGTTGACATTTAAAAATGATCTACATGAATATTATCTATTATATTCATATAAAGTGGGCCACATCCCAAAATTTGTTATGCGTCATTAGTTTTATTAATGTTTGTTTTCCTGTTGTCTTACTCTCTTTTATTTGCTTTCTTACTCCCAACTCATTTATAGTAAACATGTTTCTTGCTCCAACAAGTCAATCAGGAAATTAAACTTTGCAGATTATATAAATCGGGGATTCATTCAAATGTCTAGTGTTTAAGAGAGATAACTCAGTCTTAGAATGTTCTGTTAGTTTTCATGTTTTGAATTATTCTGTAGAACTAAGTGCAACATTTTTTTAAAATTTTTTGTCATGTTTTATATCATTCATCTTTTTAACAATGATAATGATGTGGCTTTGAATCATTGCCAGTTTTTGTGTGTTTTGAATGTTTGATGTACAAAGTTTCTCCTGCAGATCTCTTTACTTCGATTTTTGGTTTCTCTAGTTTGGAAAATTAATGAAGAAAAATTTTAATTGTATTTCCTGAAATCTTTGAATTTAATTTCTTTTTTATTCTTTTTTTGCAAAGTGCCTTGCCAGATTAAAAATTCTTTTATTGCAATGCCCATACCATATTTTTCAAACTTCAATATTTCAATTGATTGTTTTATATATATATATATATATATATATATAAAATACATAAAAGGTTAATGGTCAAGTGGAATCAGATAAAAAACAGTAGTTAAAAAAGTGCTCAATACACATGTACTCAAAAACAAAAGTAAAAATAACATGTAGAGCTTTTAACTTTAAAAATCAGGAGGTCAGTTGAATCTGCTACCTTGATTTGAAACCAAGGATTCAACAAGGTGAAAAAACCTGGGTAGCAAAATTTTAGAATAAATTGGCATCTGAGAGAAAATGGAAAAAAAAAAAAAGAAGCACCAGAAACCTCCAAACAAGGCGAAAGAAATCGTCCAGTACCTTAAATTTCTGGTACAAAGAAAAAACCCAGTGAGTAATAAGTTAAAATGAAGAGTGCTCAATACATTAAGTAGAGAAAAAGTAAAATAAATAAATCCTAGGTTTCACCACATGGGATTATCAGGGTGAACTGGCTGATGATCCCATATGGTGAAACCTAGTTCATTAGGTTTTATTTATTTTATATTCACTGAGTCAGGAGAATATTGTGAGAGAGCAAAAGAAAACAATTTGCAAACTAAGAGTTAAGATTACTTAAAAAAAAATTGGGAGTAACAAAATACACTATTTGACTAACACAGTGTTAAGTATTTAACTTGGTTAACACAGTTGTCATGGAAGGATAATGCCAGGTGATTATACATTTTCAGAAATCTGAGGTGACTAATGCAAGGTTAAAATGTATGACCTTTTGACATTAAATACTGTAATTTTTGTCTGATTAGAAACTGAAATTTAAGCTTTCAGCTTTTTAGCTGTGTTGGGTTACTTTGTTAAATCCAATTTTTATGGAAGAATTTTCAAGTTGGAATTGTGCTGAATATTTGATTTTAATTATGGACTTGAGAAACCTATTTTCTTGGAAAATTGTTTTAAGGGAAAGATCTTTATAAATTTCAACTAAGAGTAGTACAAACTGCTTGATCAATGAATGATGAATGTTTCCTTATAAGGAAACTGCTGATATTACTATTACCATATGATTAGATTTTAGTAATGGGTGATTAGATTAATTGCTGTGACCATTACTCTGTTAAGACAGAGGCTAGCTGTCAATCAAGTCTACTCTGTTATTTAACCTATAGCTGATATTGGAGATATATGCCATTTTCTTGTCCATGGTTTATCATTCAGAGTTGTCACTCTTAGATTGGCTACTATACAAAGTCTGAGTCAACACTGGCTGAGGAGAGGAGAGATGGGCTCATGCCTTTCTCGGGAGCATTAATTCTGTACTGAATGCAACAGACTAATCTGAACTTTGAACTTGGTCTGCCAATTTGACATTACAATACCAACATAGATTTTGATGATTTTAATTTAAATTATCAATTAATTTGATATTTTTTAATTTTTTTATATTAATAATTATATATCAAAGAAATGTTTTTTTTCATTTTTTTTATTTTTCATAAATATTTGATTATTAAGTAAAGCTAATTTTTAATATTTAGTTAGTAATTTTTCTTTCTAATCTAAAATCTTTTTATTTCTTGTAGCTAATCTTCAAAAGGTGATTTTCTTCTGCAGAGGCTATCTGTTAAAATGGTTATCAGCAGCAATTCCTTAAAAAAAAATAAAATAAAATCGGTAATGATGGTAAAAAAAAAAAGAAAAAAATCTAGATTTGTTTAAAATCATTTAGTCTGATGCTTCTGAAATAAATTGCCTGTTTAACAACTTTTTGCTCCTGCCGTTTTCAAAGTAGATTTGTTTTCGTGTTCTTTTTTTGCCTTTTTCCTCATGACTTTGCAGAGTTGATAGCATTCAAGAATTATACATATTCAAAAAGTTAATTTCTTAACACCTTTTTTGATTTATTGAATGCCATTTTCTTTTACTAACCATTCCTGGCTTTTTTAGATTCTACTAACTGAAAGCATCTTGAGTTCTTGTACACAATCAAACTATAACTTTTTTTTTTTTTTTTTTTTTTTTTAATCATGATCACCCCCCCAATCAAAGCAGTAAAGCTACCAAAGCACAAATGGATACTGGGTGTGGAGGTATTGTGAGTTGTATATTGGCTCGCAAACAGATATTGAATGATGAAAGAAAATATCAGACAAAACAAAGACTGCAATAAAAATAAATATAGCCGAATTTATTTTTGTTAAAGAAAAATACATAAACAAAAATAATGTTAGTGTGAACTAGGCAAGCTCATGTAGAGGGTGAGAAATAGTGTTGTCCTGAGAAGGACAGTTTAGTGGTCGCTAGGGAGTGGATGTCCCGTGGAGGACAGTTTAGTGGTCGCTAGAGAGTGGATGTCCCGTGGAGGACAGTTTAGTGGTCGCTAGGGAGTGGATGTCCCGTGGAGGACACATTTTATTGTATATTGTTGGCTGGAGCAGCAGGAGTTGATGATGACTGGAACTGGAGTCCTACTTGAGATGGCTGGAGCGGCAGGAGTTGATGATTGC